AACCCTGAGTCCACACAGCCCTGGCTAGCTTTCCTGCCTTTTGTCCTGTCCTAAGGTTTTCCTCTATCATCTAAAGCAGTTTGGTTCCTTGCAGTTAAACTGCCTTCAGCATTTGAAAGGAAGGTCTTTGCTTTTTTTTTTTTTTTAACATCTCTGTAAGTTTAGTATTTAATCAAAGTCAACCTCCTCTCTTCCTTGACAAGTAATAGTCTACTCCAAAGTTAAATTCAAGCTTCTACCTCTTAGGAACTTTCAAACTCAAAATGTCAGTTTCCTAATTAAAAGCAAATAAAACCAAACTCCTAATGCCCAGTCTCAGCTTGTCCACCCTATTATACAAGAATATGTTACTCTATATCGAATTAATTGTTATATACTGGTGCATGTTAAAAGTGTGTGACATATTAAAGCACATACACAGAAGGGTGGCCAGATGTTCAGTTTAAGGCTAATATCCCCCCATTAAGACTAAGAATCTTAATTGAATCACAAATATAATGTTAAAAGTTGGAGGAAATTTTACCTTTAGTACGTATCCCCTTTCATTTTTGGTTATTCTCTTTCTCTTCTGAATGTTTTGCTTATATCCTGTTTACCTTGACTTTCAAGTTTATAATCAATATAGTTCAAGTATAGAAAAACAGAGTTAAAGAGTTAAAGAGTTAAAATTAGAGTTAAGAGTTAAAATCAAGTATAGAAAACAGAGTTATACTTTTAAATGTAGCAAAGAAACTTGTAAAAGAATCATGTAGGAATCTCTAATAAAGTGAAGAATATTTTGTGATGTATGTTTTTGGGTAATTTTTTTTCTCTTTTTGTATTTCTGGAGTTTATTCATATGATCATATAAAAAATTTTATTGTTGTTGTTGTTGCAATTTGGCCAGGGCCGGGTTTGAACTCGCCACCCTTGGTATATGGGGCTGGTGCCCTATCCCTGAGCCACAGGCACCGCACTAAAAAATTTTATATATTAGATTTTTGTATATTCAGAAGTTTTCAAATATTATACTTATTTATGTATAAGATATATCCCTGTAGATATTTTTAGACTATATACTTTAGCACTTTATTTTAGTAGGTATTTCATAACTTAATTTTGTGAAGATTAAAAAAACTATATTTTATAGGAAAGAGACTAAAATGAACCCAGTGGAAAGACGCTTTCTAAATCTGGTTCTTGTATTTTCAAGGCCTTTAGTACACTGCTTTTATGTATAGAGTGGAATTTCTTGAAGGAAATATGTGGCTAGTTTCCTTTGTATGTATATCAGAAGTGAAATTTCCTATTCATTAAACTTCAAAGGAAAAGCATTATAAGCAACATTGGGAATGACATTTCCAAACAGTAGGTTCCTTACATGTGGTCTTTATAAAACACAGCTGCTAATATTCAATATGGAAAGGAAATTTGTCGAACCTCTTTTTCTATTCAGTTAGGAAAATAGCCATTTCCTCCTGACGGTTATCAATTTGACAGTGCACCAGTTATCTTTAAGCTATCTTTATCAGTAGCTTAAAAAATGTTGCTACCACCTAGAACATTCTTCTGTATGTCATTTGACACCTCAGGCACAGATGGCAGGTGCTCTTTGGTGTCTTACCACTTTGTATGGGCCTGTCTCAGAGCCCTGCTTAGATTGTTTTAGGGTTTGTTAACTTTCACTCAACTCTGAACGTCTTGGGCTGCACAATTTTTTCATATTGATCTCTTTATCCTGGATGCCTGAGATGCAGCTGTGTTATACATGGAATGACAAATGTTTGTCAAAGGGAAGTTGAATGCATATGTTCACTCACATATGCATTCAGCAATACACAGTCAATGTATTGAATACATGCAAGAGAGAAGGCACTAGTCTAGATCCATACAGCTTTTGCTCTCACTAGTTTTATGATCCAGAAGGGAAGGCAGGGTTTGGTACAAGTTTTTTTTTTTTTTGTAGTTTTTGGTCGGGGCCAGGTTTGAACCTGCTATCTCCATCATATGGGGCTGGCGCCCTACTCCTTTGAGCCACAGGTGCTGCCCTGGTATAAGTTGTTTTAAAATAAATGATGATAGGGTTATGATAGGAAACAGAATCCTATCACAGACCTACCTTAGTAATGGAGACTTTAAGGCTCTCAGAGAAGTGATGTTTAAGTTGGGACCAGAAATATGAATTGAAGCTGGCTGAAAAGGGCTGGGAATATTGGAGGAAGTGGGAGCAAGTCTAGCAATAGGAATTTAACTTACAACATCTTTTGAAATGTGTTTTGGAAGTGATTTTTCTCTTCCCAACAGTGCTACCTGCCTGGCTCTTTATATTACCTGAATGGAGATAAGACTAATAGTTGTCAGAAAAATGATCTTTTTCTGAGTATGGGTCTTTAGCCAGTTATTCAACATCCCCAAATTTTTAGAGTCAAAAATGCAAAATTCTTTTTTTGATATATATTTACTTTTAGTATATGAAGCCAAAGACAGAATTCTACAAAAGGCTATTCTAACTTTCCAAAGCAGAATCACAACAAGAAAATAAAATATTTTTGTGGGCATTTATCTGCTCTTTAAATCTTGGAGGTCAGTTTGATTTTCTACCATCTCCCAGTAGCAATTGCGACTTGCAGAGAAGCACATTAAAAAAACCATTTTTTTATCTTTACTAGAAATTTCCTTAAAAATAACCAACAGCTAATGGTCGTTGCGTGCTTTCTATGTTAAAATACTATACTAAATATGTGATATGAACTAGCTCATCGAAGCCAGAAACACCCTGTGATATGAATTATTTTTGTCCCTTTCCTTTACATAAGGACACTGAAGGTATTTAAGTACCCAATTTCCCAGAACTAGAAGTAGTGTATTAAAATTTGATCTCGGAAGTGTCTGATTTCAGAGTTCAAGTTCCTAACTTGGTAAAGAGAGCTAAATGATACATGTTAAGATGTTGAGACAATCTCAGACCCTCTTCATGGTTTTGGTTGGTTGTAAGAAACAATATTTCTTGTTTTATTTAACAAAAGTAACTTATATTTTCTTTATGCTGAAGTTCATGAATAAATTAAAACTGAAATCTCATGGATTAAAGTAGATAAGACAGACCCTTTCACATATTGACTGTATTTTAGAGAATTTGTTGGCAAAATATAATAAAATTTAAAACTCATTTACCCCTTGACTCAGCAATTCTGCTTTTTTTAGCAGGGGGCGGAGTCTCACTCTGTTGCTCTAGTCTGGGGTGCTGCAGCATTAGCCTAGCTTACAGCAACCTCAAATTCATGGGTTCAAACAATCCTCCTGCCTCAGCCCCTGGAGTAGCTGGGACTACAAGTGCTTGCCACCATGCCTGGCTAATTCTTCTATTTTTAGTAGAGACAGGGTCTTGCTTTTCTCAGGCTGGTCTCAAATCCTGAGCTCAAGTGATTCTCCTGTCTCAGCCTCCTAAAATGCTGGGATTACGGGCTTGAGCTACTGTGCCTGGCAGCAATACTACTTTTATTAATTTATCCTATAGCTGAAGTTGCTCATGCATGCAGAAATGTGTGTCATGGGTATCTTTTTGTACTACTGAAAATAGGAAAATGTTAGAAATGACATGCATTCAGTTGGAGCCTGATAAAATAAATTATATTGTATCAATAAAATATAATCTTATGCAAGCGTTAAAAAGACTGATAGTACTAGCTGATCTAATGTTTGCTAATTCTGAGTACTGCTCTTATTTCTTATGCATAGAATAGGTATTATTATTATTAATCCATTTACAAAAGAGGAAAATCACGAAGAGGTTAAGTGACTTGTCTAAGATTGTAGGAAATAGACATTGAATTAGATGGCTCTAGAGCCCAGACTATTAATTACTGTGCTATATTTTCTCCTGGCTATTTCCCAGTATGAAAGGAAAGTAAATTGCTAAGTGAAAAGGAGAAATTACAGAAAATTTTATGGTATGCTATCATTGTGAAAAGGTTCTGTTTGTTTTCCATTTTTAGCATATGAAAGTATATGTTTTATAACTTAAATTTGTCTCTATAAAACATACATTAGTATATATGCGTGCACATATTTATAAAACATATAAAACATACATCTATAAACAGATGTATGTCTATAAACCATATAATCATGAAAAAATTTCTGAATAGATATTTAAGAGCTGAATAGTTGGTGTTTTGGGTGATTGGTATGGAGAATTTCTAAATTTCCACTTTATACTCTTCAGTATGATGAATTATTTAGGAGTCATGGAAACGTTTGTTTTTATAATCAAAACACTTTAAATTATAAAATAAAACATAGTAGATGTGGTAGCAATTTCTTATTGTTATTGGGACGGAATAAAGGAAGACTTTTTATTTTCATTTTATGCCACTTTGAACCGGGAACTTTAAAAAATGAATTTTTACACATTACTTTTATAATAAAGTTTACTTAAATTGAGAAGACCTTAAAAATGGTGGATATGATGTTTTTCTAACAATTATGCACCATGAAGTTATTCTTTTTGTGAGTAAATTTAGGATATAGCTTATTCATCATAGTAAAGTTCCGAGTAAATCTGCCTAGCTTAAATTTTTATTAGAGTGCTGCTGTCTTATCATCTTAGAGGCTATTTTCTAACATCTAGTGAACTGGAAAGTAACTCACTGAAGATTTACCTTATTTTTGTAAACAAGATTGTTTATGATTGACATCTTAGTAATAAAATCTTTCACAATAAATGAGATTCGGCAAAGGAAGAAGTTGAGAGCAATTTTACTCCATGTTGCTAGTCAATTGATTTGCAGATTTCTTGCAGGAAAATGGTATCCTGCTTCTTAATTTCAGAACATTTATCAAAAACAAATGCCAATTTGAAACTGCCTTGTTTATTAAGAGACAATGTGTTAGTAACAACTGACAGTATTTTAATATGATGCTTAGTCATGGAATGTACTTGGAATTAGGTTGGCTGATAAATTCTGAAATAGGCAAAGTTGAAACTTAAAGTATAACTTATTTGGGGTTGTGTTTTTCAGGTGAATCTCTGAAAGTATCAGCTGAGAGATTTACAGATGATCCCTGTCATCTCCCAAAAAGGGAGGCAGTGGTTCAAGCTGCCCGAGCTTTGTTGGCTGCAGTTACCAGACTCCTTATCCTTGCAGACATGATCGATGTCATGTGTCTCTTGCAGCATGTGTCAGCTGTAAGTAAAAGATGGCTTAGTTTACCTTGGCATTGTTTTCATTTCTAATTCCATTGTCTGAAACTTTGTTAATCCTTGTGCATCCTGGCCCCACTCATATTGCTATTTTTTTTGCAGTTTTTGGTCAGGGCTGGGTTTGAACCCACCACCTCCGGCATATGGGGCCAGCGTTTTACCCCTTTGAGCCACAGGCATGGCCCCCACCATATTTCTAAATGTCACTCATCAGAAGCTGACTAGATTGGGTAGTGAAGACTAATGTATACCTTAAAGGAAGCAAGCCAAAGTTAGTCTCAAAGTTGATGGGGAATTGAAGGGAAGATGACTTACTGATAATAAAATGACTGGGAGAAAGTTCTAGACTTTTGACTAGTTATAGGTCATAATTATTTAAATGGTCAAATTTATACAAATTAAATGTATACATTTAATATAAATATAACATATATAACATATAACAAATATATAAATATAAATAGTTTGAGAAAGAGAAACCTTAATGCTTAGGACAGTGGGAAGTTTATCCTGGTTGTGACTGAATGCTACTTTGCCAGCTTCGCTTGGTCCAGGGTGAACAGTGCATGTTACAAGTAGTCTGAGATGTCTGCTGTAATCCATTATGAAAATGTATACATGTATTTAATGTAAGTAAGAATATATTTTAACCAGGAGAATACAAAGTTAGCAAGATATCCTGCTTGTTATTTTGTTAGACAAATCCAACTTTTATTAGAAAGATAATTTTATTAAAACCTTTTTTACTTTTTACTTTCTTAATTTATTTAATTTGACTAAGTCACTAATAATGCCCAGATAAAAAGGGCACAAAGAGCCTCTTGGAATTTCTATTGTATTACTTGATTTAAATAGGACTCACACTTCTGTCCCTAAATACATCTGGTGATTTTGGTATCACTGGTCAATTAAACAAAGAATGTTATCTGATTGAGGTTCTAAAATTATTTTCTATAATTGCAAAGCTTAACCTTTCTTTGTCTTTCTTTTATTCACTGTTGCTTATTTTAACACTAGAGCAACTCTTCTTTTGTACTTTCGTATTTCTTTTCTTTTCTTTCTTTCTTTCTTTTTTTTTTTTTTTGCAGTTTTTGACTGGGGCCCGGTTGAACCTGCCACCTCTGGTATATGGGGCCAGTGCCCTACTCCTTTGAGTCACAGGCACCACCCTGTTCTTTTCTTTTGATAGTTTTATTACTGTATAAAAAGGAATCAATTTTTTTTTTTAGTTTAAATAATTTTCTAGGAAGGGGATTAATTTTCATCACTGGCAGCTATTTATTAGTGGCTTTCTAGGTCAGATAATTGGGTAAAGTTTCTTGCTACTTGGTTATTGGTTTGTTGAATAACCTTAGACAAATTCCTGAACATTTCTGAGATCCATTTTTATCATATGTGACTATAGACTAATAAATGCTGTAAACAAGAAATGAGTATGAAAGATTAAGGGCTAGGTAATTCCTAGTTCCAGTGACCCAGTAATTCCTATGTTTCAGACTCTAGTTTTATTGAGATAGGGAAGAATGAAGAGCTTCTGTAAGGTGCAATTGCCACCATCTGTAATTAATTAGTAACTAGATATGAAAAACTCAACCACCTTCACTACCATTTTAATTGGGTTTCCACTAAGAGCCAGTAGTAAGTTATTTAAACAGCCAGTAGTAGGTAATTTAATGCCATTTAAAGAAGTAGGAGGATATTCTAGAACAAATAAAACTACTAACTTTTGCAATAGAAATTATAGTTAATATTTACTGGGTTTTTATACTGTGATAGCCACTGTGCTGGATTATTTCCTTTAATCCAATCCTCATAAGGGCTCTATGATTATGATTCTATTTTACATGTGAGAAACTGAGGCATGAATTTATTAAGTAACTCATTTTAGACAAAGATTTTTAGAAAAAAAACTTTCAGAAATTAGTACTCCAACAGTTAGAATAACGTTAAGTACAAATAGCTTTTAAAAGTATTTAGCCAAGTTTATGGGCCTACCACAGGTTGTTAAACTAAGTTAAGTATGTCAGAATGTGTTCTTAATTCCAGCCATCCTCTCCTGCACTTGTTGGTGTCTGGTCAGAGCCTGAGCATGGACTAGATTGTTTGGCTCCTGTAATTATGTACAGTACCAAAGTGATACTTTATGAAAATGGAAGTAACAGCCTATCAAAGAAAGATGTTTTGTGAAAAGTTATGATTGTTTTTCATGATTTCATCCTTAAGAAAAGTTTACATATGAATTATATTAACAACTCAATTCTTTCAAGGTTTCACATAGAAATTGAATTGTTTTTGAGATCATTAAGAGTAGAACTAGTAATCTGAAGGAAATTGACCAATATATGGAAGCACATCACCCTCCAAGACTTAGCCAGAATCAAGTGGAAATGTTGAACAGGCCTATATCAAGTACTGAAATAGCATCAACTATACAAAATCTCCCTAAAAAGAAAAGCCCAGGACCAGATGGCTTCATGTCAGAATTCTACCAAACCTTTATAGGGGAACTAGTACCTGTACTACTTAACCTTTTCCAAAATATAGAAAAAGAAGGAATACTACCCAATACATTCTATGAAGCAAACATCACCTTGATCCCCAAACCAGGAAAAGAAACCTCAACAAAGAAAGAAAATTACAGACCAATATCACTAATGAATACTGATGTGAAAATATTCAACAGGTTCCTAACAGAATCCAGCAACACATCAAACAAATTATACACCATGACCAAGTGGGTTTTATCCCAGGATCTCAATACTGGTTCAACATAGGTAAATCTATAAACATAATTCATCACATAAACAAATTAGAAAACAAAGACCATATGATTCTCTCAATTGATGCAGAAAAAGCTTTTGATAATATCCAGCATCCCTTCATGATCAGAACACTTAAGAAAATTGGCATAGAAGGGACATTCCTCAAATTGATAGAGGTCATCTACAGCAAGCCCATAGCCAATATTGTACTGAATGGAGTTAAACTGAAACCATTTCCACTCAGATCAAGAATGAGGCAAGGTTGCTCATTGTCTCCATTGCTCTTTAACATTGTAATGGAAGTTTTAGCCATCACAATTAGGGAAGAAAAGGTGATCAAGGATCAGAAGAGATTAAACTTTCACTCTTCACAGATGATATGATTGTATACCTGGAAAATACCAAGGATTCTACTACAAAACTCTTAGAAGTGATCAAGGAATACAGCAGCATCTCAGGTTACAAAATCAACACTCATAAATTGGTAGCCTTTATATATACCAACAATAGTCAAGCTGAAAAAATAGTCAAGAACTCTATTCCGTTTACAGTAGTGCCAAAGAAGATGAAATATTTGAGAGTTTACCTAACAAAGGACGTGAAAGACCTTTATAAAGAGAACTATGAAACTCTAAGAAAAGAAATAGCTGAAAATGTTAACAAATGGAAAAACATACCATGCTCATGGCTAGGAAGAATTAACATTGTTAGTATGTTCATACTACCCAAAGCAATATATAATTTTAATGCAATCCCTATTAAAGTTCCATTGTCATACTTTAAAGATCTTAAAAAAATAATACTTCATTTTATATGAAATCAGAAGAAACCTTGAATAGCCAAGACATTACTCAGAAATAAAAACAAAGCAGGAGGAATCACGCTACCAGACATCAGACTATACTATAAATCCATAGTGATCAAAACAGCATGGTACTGGCACAAAAATAGAGAGGTAGATGTATGGAACAGAATAGAGAACCAAGAGATGAACCCAGCTACTTACCATTATATAATCTTTGACAAGCCAATTAAAAACATTGAGTGGGGAAAAGATTTCCTATTTAACAAACGGTGCTGGGTGAACTGGCTGCTGACCTATAGAAGACTGAAACTGGATCCATACCTTTCACCACTAAGATAGACTCTCACTGGATTTAAGATTTAAACTTAAGACATGAAACTATAAAAATACTAGAAAAAAGTGTAGGGAAAACACTTGAAGAAATTGGTCTGGGTGAAAATTTTATGAGGAGGACCCCCCCTGGCAATTGAAGCAACATCAAAAATACACTACTGGGACCTCATCAAATTAAAAAGCTTCTGCCCAGCCAAACGCACAGTAGTAAAGCAAATAGACAGCCCTCAGAATGGGAGAAGATATTTGCTGGTTATGTTTCCAACAAAGGTTTAATAACTAGGATCCACAGAGAAGTCAAACGTATTAGCAAGAAGAGAACAAGTGACCCCCTCTCAGGTTGGGCAAGGGACTTGAAAAGAAACTTCTCTGAAGAAGTCAGGCGCATGACCTACAGATATATGAAAAAATGCTCACCATCCTTAATCGTCAGAGAAATGCAAGTCAAAACTACTTTGAGATATCACCTAAGACCAGTAAGATTAGCCCATATCACAAAATCGCAAAATTACAGATGCTGGCATGGTTGTGGAGAAAAGGGAACACTTCTACACTGCTGGTGGGATTGCAAACTAATATATTCCTTTTGTAAAGACATCTGGAGAACACTTAAAGAACTAAAAATAGACCTGCCATTTGATCCTATAATTCCTCTATTAGATATATATCCAGAAGACCAAAAATCACACTACAATAAGGACATTTGTATTAGAATGTTCATTGCAGCCTAATTCATAATTGCTAGGTGATGGAAGAAGCCCAAGAGCCCATCGATCCATGAATGGATCAATAAATTGTGGTATATGTACACCATGGAATACTATGCAGCCATTAAGAAAGATGGAGACTTTGCCTCCTTCATGTTTACATAGATGGAGCTGGAAAATATTCTTCTTAGCAAAGTATCCCAAGAATGGAAGAAAAAGTATCCCATGTACTCAGCCCTACTATGAAACTAATTTATAGCTTTCATAGGAAAGCTATAACCCAATTTTAGCCCAGGAATATGGGGAGAAGGGAGAAGGAGGGGAGGGGAGGGGAGGGTGGAGGGTGGGTGGAGGGAGAGTGGTTGTTGGGATCACCTC